ATTATATACTAAATGAATTTCGCATGGATGAGAAAGTTGTAGACGAGCTTTTTCAAGTCGAATTTTTGCTAAACATTGACAATTTGTATTTCTATTTCTTCTTTGTCCTGCTTTTTGCGCATAAGATTTTTGCATATATTTAATTGCGGCGATGTCAGCATGTCTACAATGAAAATCTTTATGATATATAACCTTTACTCCTTTAACTTTATCCGCACGCGTAATTCTGAATACTGTTCCTGTTTTATTATTAAATGCAGTTCTCCATGCTTCAATCCTTTCCGCAGATGAAATATTCACATAAAAGGTCGAATCAAACGCGACTGTTGGTGCTCCTTCCACTTTTGATGGCTCCAATTTTTTACACGATTTTATAATATAAGTATAATTTTCTGGTAATGTTTCGCGTAAATAATTTGGTAATTGATCGAGTGTTGCTGGCATTGTTGGTTTTGTTGTGGTATTAGATCCCGAATTAATTCGTTCTTTGAACCGTTTTTGTAGTTCAATGCGAGATGGTGTTCGTTCATTAGACATTTTTCTTTTATATAATATTTTTTTGCTTTGGGAATAGTTTTAGACGTGTAAATAACGAGTAACGTGTACAAGATATTAATTAATTGATTGATTCGTTGACTAGTAAATGGCTGCACTTTATAAATTTAAATTTGCCTTTATGAAAAACGGGAAATTTGGACAAGCGAGACAATTTATACCAGTTTTACATAATAAATTAAAAAAAAAGAAACGACTCCCAAATAAAGAAATGAGACTAACCATTATGATACAAACACAATCAATTTATTTTTAGATATTATTTATATTGTTTATTGATGATTATACTATATAAATTATAGTATGTGTAATAATATACGTACTATTTATAATTCTTGATATAAAAATAGGATTTTTTATATTATATTATTGACTATATATATACATTTGTGTAATAATGAAACTTCGTGTGATCTACATATAATAAAAAATGATTTTTAGAACAAAGTGGTTATTACTACACAAAAGCATGAAATTATTCACGAAATCATAGTGAAGAAGAATCCGATTGACTCAAATAAAAAGCTAAGAAAGGATGGTATCTATTACTAGAACTACATTTTGAATTTAATAAAAATTTAGGGTAAACTGGAGTTAATTCTATTATCGTTTACTACTTCGTCATTTTTACTGTCACGCTTCGTATTTCGCGCTATTCGATATTGTGTTATCTCGATTTTAGTTTTGCTAGCCAACCGACTACACTATTTTAGTCAAAACAAGAGAAATGCATATTCTAAATATATATTAACAAATGTCAAATGAACTCAAAAATTTTAGATAGTTCAAAAAATTGTTATTTTGATTGCGAATTTTGATAAGATCTACCGACAAATTGACAGATACTTTTATCACAATACTGCTTAATTGACTGACGTTTTCAAATATTTTATTCAGTAACATAAGATGGAACATTCAAGCTGTTTCCTCAAAGTAAATTACGAGCTTCCATAACATAAATTTAATTAATATACAGCAAATTTAATGCTATTGTGAATTCTCCTTTTCTTTAATTGAAACATTTACATATACGTAATATGATACCATTTGATAAATACATGTACATGTATATGATATTGCCGATCATTATCAAATTAAATGCTGTTCTATTTTTATCTTTCAATAAAGTTTGTGATTTGTTTATTTTTTAGGAAATAATTGTCTTTTTTATTATACATAAATACTGTATATTGTAAATTTAGCCGAATTATTCAGGCTTAACATTTTTAATGCCTGTTTGGTAAATTTATTTTTTAGGAAATAATTGTCTTTTTTATTATACATAAATACTGTATATTGTAAATTTAGCCGAATTATTCAGGCTTAACATTTTTAATGCCTGTTTGGTAAATTTAAATGTTTTTATTATGCCCAAAGCGAGAAAATTTAAGCTAAATATCCCTTTACAATACAAGTTTTTTAATCTAGATTAAAAGAAATAAAAAATTTTACATTTTAGCTACAGTGCGCCATAAATAATGAGAATTTTTTATTTTGTCGTGTTTTAAACATCAGAAATTATTAAGATTTAAGAAAAGCTTATTCAATTTATCACTTTTTGAGAGCAGTTTTTTGTAAAGTACCCTACTCTATCATATTGATCAATAATGAATTACATATATGTAACCCTCTTAATCATGAGCAGAATGTAAAGTATCCGGTAATTGTTTGGTTATGTTATTTAGTTTAAAAACATAATGCATTATTTAATTTTTTGCAGTTCTCTTATACATTGTTTTTGAAATATTTAAATGATTTGACCAAATGTAAATTAATTCATTTTTTATTACAATTTTCAGTAAAAAGCAGAAAATATCAATAAAGTTTATAATATACTATTTATAGATTTGAAATTATACGCCCAAATAATTGGAATTGCTATGTTTATTCTAAAAATTATATAATTTATTTAAATTCCCTAAAAATTTTAGTTATTAAGTTCGTAATCGCCGAGCTATATGCTATAATAAATTAATTTTCTGAATATATATATTTGTATTTAAGTATGTATAGCTTGCTAAAATGCTTAAGTGAGAATTTTCTTAAGGAGCCTTTAACTTAACTGACTTTATCCAGTAAGAGAAGCAAATTTAATTCATTGAAACTTATTTTCTTTTGCTTAAATCATATAGAAAATCAAGATTTGACAAAATCGATTTTTCCAATTCTTAATATGAGATAGTGCAGGCAGCCTAAAGAACACCAATAAAAAATGCTACTAGTTTGTCAATATTGTTTATATTAAGATAAAAATAAATAACAATTTTTGTTGTTGAGTAATACTATAATTGTTACTTATTTTTATCTTAATATAAACAATATTGACAAACTAGTAGCATTTTTTATTGGTGTTCTTTAGGCTGCCTGCACTATATTCAAAAAATGTAATAATGAAATTAATTCCGAATATTTTTGAAACTTAAAGCTACACAGAGTCTGAAAAGAATATTTATAAGAAAGAAACAAATAGTTTCTGATTCCATAATCTAAATTTCATTTTTATTCAGAGCAAATAAAATTCATTGTCTGATTCCGTATTTATCTGAAAATCAATACAGTATGTAAAAAATACTATTTCTGTAATATTTTAATAAAAGTCGATCATAAAGTATGTTAAACAAAATAATAATTTAATTTAATGGCGTCATTTCACATCAAATTTCTAATTGTAGGCAAGTAAATTATTATATTTATATCGTTATCGATCAGTGTTGTCCAATTGGTTAAATTACCAACACTATTATCGATTATACATGTGTTTATATTTATATAACAAAATTCTCCAATTTATCAAGAGTAATCTTTTTTGGAATAGAAAATGAAACATAGTAGGGCGACCACCGAAATTTCGGGCCACGTGACAATTTTTTGATGATGTCAGCGATGATGACCAATTAAATTGCAAGATCAACGTGTAACGCAAAAATTCAAAAATAAACATATTTTTAGAAAAAAAGCTTTTATCTCAAAATCTAATCTAATAAAAAATGTTCACTGCGAGATTTTACTATTATACATTTTTTGTTTGCCAAATAACCTTGACCCTAACCCTTTTCGCATCGTTGACGTCATCAAAAATTGTCACGTGACCCGAAATTTCGGTGATCGCTCTGACGAATTCAAATTTTTGGATTTCTTGTGATTTTTAAAGCTTTTTGCTCACTCCAACAATAGAATTACATGTATATCTTACTGAACTAATTAATTAAATTATATCACATTCATATCTGATCAGGCCTCATTTGGCAAAGATCGACCATATCTTTAATATTCTATTTTTAGAACGATTTTTGTGTTTATTTTTATTTAATTGATGATTTTATTTGTTAGCTATTTTTAGAAATCAACAAATAAATTCTTAAATCTAATAATAGCATGTACTACAAATGAAAGAAATTGTTAAGACAAATAAATTACCATCCAAGAAACTTTTATAATCCAAATTCTTATTGAACTTGTTTTCAAATAGATTTACTCTAGATTTGCTGCAAGTGTATGCTGTTTTATCATTTTATATGCAGAAAATATATTGGTTAATGAAATAATAATATAATAATATATAGTTTTTGATATAAATGTTCCTACGTATAAGCTAATTAATTAAATAATTGAAATTTAAATGATCAGGACTAACTTAAAAAAATCACAACAAAATTCATTTTAATTTTAAAGATCTCCAACGAGCTAGAGATAGAGATAGGAATCGATTCTCAATCCAGAATCGATTCTAATCGTTTTAAATTAATCGATTTTCAACCCAAAATCGATTCTGTTCTACCAAACAGCTATTTAATCGGTTTCGTTCATGTGTAATTAAGTTTCCCACATCTGAAAATAGACATTCAGATGGAACTGATACTGTATGGCAGGAATTGTCAAATATTTGCGTGCAAATTGTGAAAGAATTGTATAAAGGGATAGGAATCAAAATCGATTCTCGAGCACAAAGTACGTACGTACGACGACAACGATGACAGCAATAATGACGATGACGGCGATGACATAACCGGTCTTTGGTTTTGTTTTTCATTGCATGTTGATTTTTTTCCCTTTTCGTTGGAATAGTTGAAGCTGTACTTTGATAATTGAAATTATAATTTAATTAGTTGAAATCATGCTTTGATTAGTTGAATTTGTAGATACCGTAATTTGCCGCATAAACCACCCCTCTCTGTAAAAAATTTAAACCTTAATTTCACCACAAGGCTATTAATTTAGTAATCAAAATTTTAAGAAATTGCACTGTGAATCTTGGTTTCTTTATTTGGTGGAAAAATAATTAGTTTTATTAAAAAAATTTGGACCAAATTAAGGTTTAAATTTTCTATAGAGGGGGTGGTTTATGCGGCAAATTACGGTATGTATGGGTAGAGTCCAGAGTCTTTGACTCATGAAAATCAATTTCTGAGGATAAGCTTTAAATGCGTGTCATTTGTCAGATCACATGTTATCGAGAACCATGTGATTAATGAATAGCGATGCGTTATTTTTTGCAGGCCACTTTAAGCACAACTTATATACCCCATATACCCCCAATTTTTCTTTTTTTCGTATTGAACTACTCCAGCTCACCCACGATCGATTTTTTCTTCACGTGATTTTCCGATCCCTGACGATCTCGAAACCAATGAGAATGCGCAAATTTTGATCAACCTGGCAAAACAAATTCGCACAAGAAAATGAACAATGCAAAAAATACGGGAAACAGATGCTTAAACCTAACTTTTAGCACTAATAAAAAATGACGGGAAGACAATTTCACATATAATCTCACTCTGATCTTTAATAGTGCGAAATGTTTCGGGTAATTTTTGTGGCTTGGAAAATCGGATCATAAAATCACGTGAAGAGAAAATCGAGTAGTTTAACTTGTAAAAAGATTATACACTATTTAGATATGGTATGGTAAAAAAATAAACATACCAAATGCTCAAGTACAGTGATCAACATAAATATTCGGAATATCGATCTGGTGCACAAAA